TATGAAGACTTCAGGGAACAGGTCAAATTTGCCCAGGCAGAGAGTCTGGGAAAGGACTGAGTTTGTCAGGGGGGTTGGGAAGGAACTGTTTTTGATTTGAGTTAATAAAACTAGCTGGAGAAGAGGGTTTCTTGCATGATCCTGAAGCAGGTATATACTTCAAAACATTTCTGCGAGAACAGATGCTATGGGTTAGGCAATGACACTGCCTCTGCTGCCCAGCAGGGGGCACTGCAGCATAGATCAGTCCCCAAAACCTGTGTCCTCTAACACTGTGGTTCTTATCCTTTCCAGACTACTGTACCCCTTTTGGGAGTCTGAAGCCAGAATCCTGCCTCCCAGGGCTGAAGCATGTAACTTAGCTTCATGAGGGCCCCCTGGCAAGTGCCCTGCTTGCCATGCCTTAACACCATCCTTGCACTAGGAACCCCCTAAACCTGTCCTGTGACCCCTGGGGGTTGACACCCTAGTTGAGAACCACTGCTCTAGATGAGTTGACATATCCCCAGGGGGTCTATGTACCCCTCATTGAGAACTACTGCTCTAAGACAGTATTTCTCACCCTTTTTGATACCAGAGAGTGGCTTGCTGCCTTTGTGAAGTGTGTCAGGAGATCTCCAGGACCAGCACTGGTCCATGGACCAGTCATTGCAAAACACCATCAGACCAGTACATAAACACAAGTCAGCACCCACTGTACCCCCTAGGTTCCCTGTTCCTTTAATCACAACCCTACTCTCCCCGTGCGCCCCCCCCCCCATACACATAAAAGTCTTCTGGGGGAGCCTAGCTGATTTTTTTTGAGGGTCACGTGGAGAAGGTGAACAGTCTATTGTGTTCACAAATCCTGGCTCCAAAAGGTTTTGCCTACCAAGAGCCATTAAAATTGAGCATGCCCCTCCCAGGAGACACACAGGGCTTCATTGTGAGTGAAGAGATGAAAATTGGAGTCAGATCAGTGTCTTTATAGCCTGGTAGTTATTTTCAGCATAATGTTTTTCATAGACCCAGTGAAATAAAAGCTGCTTGGAGTCTGGCAGAGGCCTGGACTGCTCACTGTAGAGAAAAACAGCAGAGGAAGCGGAGGGTCTGCTCTGAAGCAGTATCATAAGCTATACCCCTCAGCCCCTCACAGGGAGAGGGTGTATGCTGCTCCAGTCTGGGAATCCAGGGCGCGGCCCTCCAGCAGTGCTGTTCAAGGCATTTGCTTCCTTGTGGGGGGGCCAGTTAAAGGAGTCAAAACAAAAAGTTTGCTTAGCCAACAAAAAGCAGTATCCGAGGCCTTTAGAAAACCAAACAAACAACAACAAAAATGGCCTCTAGTCATTTCCCCAGTCAGCAAACCCTGGGGCCAAGGAGCTCTGACTAGCAGTCCTATCCCTTCAAACTACCATCTTACATTAAGTAGGGAGCCTCATCCTCCCTTTTAAAGACCCACCCATCTCTAGGCTTGACAAGCTCCCAGGCACACAGGGTTGAGGCTCATTTTGCCCATAGGAGCTCTTTAACCCTTCCCTGTCTGGGGGTGGGGATCTGCCCCATGAGGAGCAGAAACACAGCTCTCTTCTGTTACGAAGTTTACTACTAAACCACCAAGAAAGAATCTGGGTATTGTTTAATAAGGTGTATCTACCTCCTCCAGCATGCGCCCATCACCGTGATATTTGAATTACTATCCTCACTGAAACCATCACACCCACACGTTGTTGCTCACCTGGTAGATTTAGGTGGATTTGATGGGATGCAAGAGTGCAGTTTATACTTTCTTGAAATTTGCAGCATCTTTTCCTTTGTTTTGTTTTTACTCCATAGGGGATGGCTGGGGCCAGCACTCACTCTCTGATGTATGCTCTCTCTAATTCTTAATAGTATAACAAGCTATGCAAGTGTTGCCAAAATGTAAGGAAGAGGCAGATCCTCAGGTATCTGTCAGAGGTAGATCATGCACTTTGCCCTGGGAGATTCACAGTGTCTTTGGGATTTCATTCTGTGTCCATACCTAGCACAATGCCATCTCTACCATCACTCTCCTTTTTCCCATCAAAAAGATTTCTTTTCCTCATCCTCCTTGGTGAAAGTCTTTGGTCAATCTTTATAATCTGAGGACATATCTTTCTCACAGCCCTGTGTATTTTGGATCCTGAAACAAAGTCTGCTACAATCTCTTCTCTGTCCCATTAGATGCACAATTGGTCCTCCCTTGCTCTATGCTTTGTCTCCCAATTTTATCTCTCTACTTTGTGGTCCCTGATTCTGTATTTGAGAAAAGTCTTCAATAATTTTGCACAAATCATTGTGCTGAGATATCTGCTGGCATGACAGTTCTGCACAGGGATCTGTAACAGTCTAGCTTGTTACTTATGGTCTGTTCTTCCTGTTGACTCATATTGGTTTTTTAGGTGTGGGTCTAGTGTCTTGAGCATCATTCAGTTAGGGGTGAAACTGTTTGCTCCACTGATCAGGAGGTTAGTACTGTTGAGGCCTGGAAGGCCTGCTAGATAGCACTGGATTTTGTTTTGGATTAATTTTGCTCCTCTAAAGTTTTGCAGTGAACAAGGTGGGCATATGCTACTTACGCTGAAATGTCCCTGGAAGTCTAGTATTCTTTTATGTATGTTGATGAGGAGGGTGAAGTGTCTTAGTTCTGCACTATAGCTGTTGTTTGTCCATTTCTTGTATCCTGTTACAGTTGTTTGCAAACAGGGCCGGCTCCAGCTTTTTTGCCACCCCAAGCAGCGAAGTGGGGAAATAAATAAATAAAGCAGATCGGCGGCACTTCGGTGGCAGTTCAATCGTGCCGCTTCATTCTTCTGCAGCAATTCGGCGGCGGGACCTTCACTCCCTCTCTTCCTCTTCGGCGGCAGCTCAAAGAGGAAGAGAGGGACTGAGGGACCCGCTGCCGAAGACCCGGACGTGCCGCCCCTTTCCATTGTCCGCCCCAAGCACCTGCTTCCTTCGCTGGTGCCTGGAGCCGGCCCTGTTTGCAAACTAAGATGTAGGGATTTGTCATCACTGATACAGTAGGCTGTGGAAGTAACACCTGACTTTACTCCCATAGAGTGGAATGGGTAGGTTTATGCTGTCAAATAGTTTTAGTGGTAGTTTCATGACAGGCTTCTACCTATTTAGTGGTTTTCTTATTATACTGTGGACAGCCCACAGAGCTATATCTTGTAATGCTTCTCTAGCCAGAGTACAAGTACACACAGAGACCCTGTCTCCCACACACTGTCTCACTCAGAGTCTGTCACCACTTCAGTGAAATGAAACACCTGTGGCTGGCCCATGTCAGCTGACTCTGGCTCATGGGTGTCTTATTGCAGTGCAGACATACCCTCAGTCACACACACTGTGAGTGACTCTCCTTATTCTCTTCTTCATTCAACTTTCCATTCATTTCCTTTTTAGCTCCTCTGCCTTGGTTGGACTCTCCTTCTCTGGAGAGTGGCTGAGAAGGAGGCTGTATTCTCTCCCCTCCCTGCATTCTGAGCAACTTTCCAGGTCCTTATCCAAACAAAGCCTCCAGGTGGGGGCCAGTTGCTGAGCAAATTTGCGACTGTGATCTTCTTCCTTGCCATATCATCAATCTACTTGTTTGGCTTTCTGCCCAGGTAAAGGGAGGGAGGTGACACACAGCAATCCACCCCACCTTAGCCTAAGGCACATTCTCACTGCGTATAGAAACTAGGTGCGGTCAGAGCTTTTCCCAGGCTGCTTCATACAGGCTTTAGTGGTAGACAGTTGGGGTTTGGGAGGGAGCTCAACAGTGAGCTGGGCTCCACACAGCAAGGATTTTTAGCTGCTCATGAGCCTGTAGTTACACCAACCATTTACCAAACAGTATAGGGCAGTGGGGATGCTTTATAGTTAAGGGGTATGGAGCAGTCACACTTGCAATGCCTGCAAGTTTTATTTAATGCACAGACCATATAGTTTGTAACTATAAACATCAAGGAGGGGGTGGGTAATTGAAGAATTCCATGGTGGCACCCTAATGTAATGGTTCACAGAAGGCTCCACCCTGCAAAGAGAAGAGTGACAGAATCACAGACAAAGACCATGTTTAAGCTAACTTGCCATTTTGCAGATCACATATTGGTAAATGCCTACCCACCCTGTTCACACTGCAGCCACTTTGAAGCAGCTGGAACAACATTACTAAATATATATATATATATATATATGTGGAGATATACCTATCTCATAGAACTTGAAAGGTCATTGAGTCCAGTCCCCTGCCTTCACAGCAGGACCAGTGGCGTAGCCTGCTTCTAAGAGGAGGGGGAGCAAACATAAAAAAGGCACCTCCCCTTGGCTCCTCCTCTGGCCACGCCCCCTTTGGCTCCTCCTCCAGCCACACCGCCCC